TATGTCTCATGCCAAGAAAATTTAAGATATTTAATTACCATTTACCCATTATATTTTAATCATTTTATTGAGGACAATTAGAAGTTATACAGAAAACCCTAAACAAATACAGAGCCTTGCCTTTAGAATGTTTATAGTATCTTTTGTGATATTTCACACTGCATCACATCCCATACACCAGGATGAGAACAATAGCATCCTGTGACTAAAGAATGTAGATGATTATTGTAGAAAGATAATATAGTGTTGTAGTAAAGGAACGATCATAATGTGATGGAAAAACTGATAGTAATTTAGTTTAGTATATACTTACACATTGTACAAATTATTGGATGCTTTATCACATGCAGTGTTGGTGTTTTTTAATATATATTTATGCATTTATTTGGCAACATATACATTTATCATGTAGAAATGGAGATCATTGAAATGCAAATAAAGAAACTGTTTTTAGTGGTTAGAAATCAAAATTTTCGTCCTAGCCTACCATATTTATTAACAATGGAGAAAATGCACTGACTTATTGTGAATTTTAAATTTTAATTCTCATGGAACCTGTATTTAAAACAGATATGGCAGACTGTTTTGAAACTTAAAGCTATTATAAAGAAACCAAGCAACAGAAAGAATCTGGAGAATGGACTTTGTGATACTCAATTCAAGGGCACTTGTTTTCTTTCCAGTAGAGGGAAAAATGTTATTCAGTAATACCAGATTTGTACATTGTAGTGTTGTAGAATGAATACAGAACTAAAAGTCATGAGATACAAGTTCTTGTCTTATCTTTATGGCTTATTATTAGCTATATGATCTTGGGCAAATCAACTAATCTTTCTAGGTTTTCGGTTTCTTTAAAGGAGCACATTGAACCCCAGAGTATTTGATACTTTTAAGTAGTACTGTGCTTTAAAATCACACGATTCTTTGTTTTCCATCTCTGGGGTTGGATTTTTTTTTTTTTTTTGAAAGCAGATTCATTTTACATCGTAAGCAGATAATCATGATCTTAAAGATTTATATACTTGGAAGTTGAACATGCCAGTTTTCAAACTTTCATTATTTGGGAATGAGTTTTGTGGTTTTAGATAGTAGGCCAGAAGCCTTTTTCATTAAAGTCTCCAGTGCAGTGCTATCCAATCAAACTTTGCAGTATCCTATATTTGTGCTGTCCAGTATGGTAGCCAGTAGACACATGTGGCTGTTGAACACTTGAACTGTTGCTGGTGAGACTGAGCAACTGAATTTTTCATGTTCGTAATTGTAATTAAGCTAAATTTGCATTGTGACTAATGGCTCTGTACTGAACAGCATAGCTCGTGTGTGTGTGTGCGTGCGTGTGTGTGTGTGTGTATGTATTGCATGCAAATGTATGCTGAATAGAGAGTGGGGTGGCAGGAAGTAAAAGAGAGTGAGAGACTGTTATTCTGGATGATGGGATGCTGCCCATACTTCATTGTTCATGAAGTTGAATGTAACACGTTCCAGGAACTGTTTTCTACCTTTCCTGTTTGTTTTGTTTTTGCATTTCTTTAAGCATTTTGATAACCACTTTGTTTTTTTAAGAGGTATAAATGACATATAAAATAACCATTTTAGGGTGCCTGGGTGGCTCAGTCATTAAGCATCTGCCTGTGGCTCAGGTCATGATCCCAGGGTGCTGGGATTGAGTCCCACATCGGGCTCCTGGCTTGGCGGGAAGCCTGCTTCTCCCTCTTTCCCTGCTTGTGTTCCTGCTCTTGCTATCTCTCTGTCAAATAAATAAATAAATAAAATCTTTAAAAAAAATGAAGTAAAATAACCATTTTATATACCACACAGTATATTGTTAAAATAATTGTATGCTGGGACGCCTGGGTGGCTCAGTCTGTTAAGCGTATGCCTTCACCTAGGTCATGATCCTGGAGTCCCAGGATCAAGCCCTGGATGGGCTCCTTGCTCAGCAGGGAGTCTGCTTCTCCCTCTGCCCCTCCCCCTGCTCCTTCTCTCTCGTTCACTCTCTCTTTCTCTCAAATAAATGTTAAAAAAATTGCTTTTCTAATTAACTTATAGTCTCAAAACTAGATATTTCCAGTGTATTAAACATGATGCAATAGTTAAATTTTATTATCTTTTCCATCCTTAAAATCTTTTGTCATGTGAATCTATGAATAGAGTTAATGAAGCATCTGGAATGTATTGGAAATTATTCTGTATTTGGAGTAAAATGATATGGTTGAGAATCATGAGTTTTCTCCTTGCTATGTGACCATGTATGTTACCTGCTTTGAGCCTCAGCTTCATCATCTATGAAATAAGGATAATAGTAATACTTATCTTGTATGGTTTTTATGAGGATGAGATTAGATGGTGAATTATGTGTAGCCTCTAATATTGTTTGTATAATAAGAATAATAATGAATATGAAAATGGTTTGGGGTTGTGTATTTAACTATGAATTCAGAATCTACGTAATGGGTATTTAATGTTTATAATTAAGTAATAATATATTCTGGCATTGAAACTAATTATATTTTTAAAATTTAATTTTGTATTTGTAAATAATGACAACTATTTTGGTTTTGGATTGGTTTTGTTTCTGTCCTCTAAAAAGGACAGTGATTATGTAGTAGCATAAAGGAATGGAGATAATTAAGATGATTCTTTTGTTCTCTGCATTAAAGTATAATAGAACTATTTTTATAAAAGAATTACTTTAGGGGCACCTGGGTGGCTCAGTCAGTTAAGCATCTACCTTTGGCTCAGGTCATGATCTGAGGGTCCTGGGATCCAGCTCCGGGTAGAGCTCCCTGCTCAGTTGGGAGTCTGCTTCTCCCTCTCCCTCTGCGCCGCCCCCCCCCGCTTGTGTTCTCTCACTTGCCCTCTCTCTCAAATAAATAAATAAATAAAATCTTTAATAAAACAAAAAGAGTATCACTTCAGGAGAAGATTTTGGAAAATGACATTTTGGTATGAGTATTCTGCTTATCTTATTTGTAATTAGATATCTGTTAGAATTTGATAAACAGTAAATAGTACATTGATAAACCAGTGCCATTACCTGTTTAAATTACTGGCTTCAAAGTGTCTCCTAATTATTTTATACTGTAGTCAATGGATGCAACTTTTTTTTAGCATTCACTTATATATTTATACATCATATGTAAAGTTATAGCATTGCAGCATTTATCTTATTAAATGTAAAGTTATTTTGATGTTGATACCTTCATTAATTTTATTCTTTTACTATTTTTATCATCTCCTGATATAAGTACTTTTATTTGTATAAAGGCACAATTCTAAGACTCATTAACTTGTTTCCTATGGAAATGTTCTCTTGTAGGGTATTAATACAAGCCATTAAGCTAGAATATCTTCTGGCAAAAACTCCTAGCAGATGGCAACTTTTCTCTCTATTAATTTTGGATTGGACATGTGCTTTGGCTTGTTTGGTCATGTTATAGTTGTAACATTGAACAAGGATCATTCACGCAAATGCAATGATAATATAGCCTTGGACATGTACAGTATACAAATTTATATCCCAGTCTATGGAAACTATATAAAGTCTTACATATTTTCTTACTGTAAATAGAAAGGTTAAGTAATCCATTAAGGTATAAGTGTCATAGTAACTTATTTGAAATGTGTTTTAAGGTAATGCCCATTCTTTGGCAAGTATTTAATTCGGAGTCTAAGTGTTTCATACTTACATTTGAGCATTCATAGGTGTTGGACTACAGTGTTCAGTTGTCATTTAGATATCTAGTAATGTTAGAAACAGTTTTAGTCATCACTTTTAAAGCATGCAACTTTTGATTTTTGAGCCTGGATGTAAGGTAGATGGACATATCTCCCTAAAAGCAGCTTAGATGCATAAGATAATAGGTACAAAAAAAGGAATATACCTTTTAATCTTTTCTTTCAACTTGAAAAAATAACTATTATAATATAGGTCTGGACAAGTCAAGTCAAAATACATTTGAAATATTTTCTTTTGCTGATGTATTTTTCTCATACTAACTTTTGATTTTTTGTGTCTTCTTCTGTATATGCTTGACATCTTTACTAAATCTGGTATTTTCCAGGAGTCCCCTCGCAATCAGCTCTTTGAACACTGTACAGTATACTCATTGCATACTTTAAGAATAATCAATTTAAAGGTGCAGCTCCTCATTTAACCTATTAGATAGTTGCCTTAGACTTGAGCAGCATTTCCCAATCAGGAATAATTTATGGATCACCTGGCAATTAGCATTTTGTTGATTCCCTTCTAGCTTGCAGTTACCAGAAAATAAGTCCCCTTTTATAATAGGGAACCTCAATATCAGAAGGATGAAAAACCAAACCTTTTTGACAGTGTCAATGTAATTAATGAATCACCTTCACTTGAAAACAAGCCCTTAATATTTAATTTGTCATGCAGTGCACATTAGCATTGGTGTCACAGTGCCTTCTAGTCGATCTTAATTCACTTGCATTCAGTTTTATACACAGTAAATTAATTCATCTTAATCATGTATTTTAATACTCTGTATTTTTTGCAAGTCCATCCCAATAATAGTATGGAGACAGTATAAATCAGTGTAATAATTTCTCTAAGTTATCATTATTCTCTGTTTAATATCAGGGTACTTTTTTTGATTTATCTTAGAAAAGTGTTTATAACCATATAGAATTGAGGCCAAGTGCACTCTGAGGACAGCTGGATATGAAAGATACAGTTCATGATATTTTTAAAGGGCTCTATATGCAGATTTTTGGAACTTTAAGTTTCTCAGAGTTTCATATTCCTTCATATTATTTAGCGGATCATAGCAATACTTGACCATCCATCATATCTCCATTAGAATTATTCTGGGCATTAGAAACTTAATTTTGTTGTTTATGCTGTAAAGTCATAATCATCCATAAAATATATGTATGTATGCCTTTAGTTAATGGAAAAATAATGATCTGAATGCATTAAATAAATATTTCCTTAATTAAAATAATTTTTAACAAACTTTGATTTTTAATTGCAGGTGGCCTGCATGCAGTTTATAAATGCTCTTGTCACTTCACCTTATGAGCTTGATTTTAGAATACATTTAAGGAATGAATTCCTACGTTCCGGACTAAAAACAATGTTACCAGTAAGTTGAGTGTACACATTAAGTCTGCTGATGAACTTTAACATATTTCTCTATTTAGACAAAGTACTTGCAACAGAATAGATAAATGTGCCTTGCTATATTTTCTTTTGTAAAGCATTAGACATTTTGCAAGCTTTTCTATATTGCAGTAATAGCAGTCTTTATATACAACTGATGATTCAGAATTCATCTAGTGTGTCCAGAAGTGATGTGGGTGTTTTTTGTTTTTGTTTTTTGTTTTGTTTGTTTTCTTAAAGTCAAAAGGGAATTTCTTTTCTTTGAATTTGAATACTGAGAACATAAGAGACTATTGCTTTTTCTTTTTCTGCGGCTTCAGTTTTCATTTAAAAGTTTTGCTTTCCTCTTTGATAACTTAGATTGATATCATTTATATTCAGCATAAGTATCTACAGAATTTTGTGCAGTATATTCTAGATACTTAGGAATAGTATTCTTGCTACAGTGCTATAGAAACTTTTCTAAAAAACAGTTTTATTTCTTAAATTGAATGTGCATATATGCTTTAATTATGATACTGTTAAAACATTTTTGAAATAACTTTATAGGCTTGATCTGAGATAAAGAGGACACTTATTCTATAAACACAAATATAGCTAATGTGACTGTATTTTATTTAGTATGTTAACTGAAGAGGGATTTTGTTTAAAACCATGGCATTGTTAAGAGACATGTAAAGTCTAGTCTTTTCATTTAAGCTACCCAGAGCACACCTGAATAAAAAGAAGCAAAAGGGAGTAAAAAAGAAAACAAAACAAAAGAAATGTCAAGTAAGCATGTATATAATACTTAGAGTAGTAGAAATATCAAAATCAGGGAAATTTCCTGGTAGGAATGAGAGTGTAGCATGCATCTGTATCTTGTGTTCTGATAGTCTTAACTGAAAGTAGTTGAAACTTACCATCATAAAATGAACCCTACAGTGAGTCTACTGAAACCCACTTTGATAAGATGTTTGATTTAATCTATCTGGTTTTAGAAAGTTCTGTGTCGGGTGCCTGGGTGGCTCAGTTGGTTAAGCGACTGCCTTCGGCTCGGGTCATGATCCTGGAGTCCCAGGATCGAGTCCCGCATCGGGCTC